GCCCCTCTAGATTTTTATCTTGTATGTATCTCAGCACCTACATTGTCACTGGAACATAGCAGATATCCAGTAAAGTTTATCTGAGCTGACCTGAATGAGGGTCAGAGGCTCCAAAAGTTTGCAGCTAGGGTCATTGCAGGGTGAAGCTCTCCAGGTTGGGGAGTGAGAGATTGTGTAGACTACAGCTTCCTTCAGCCTGGTTGGTATAAAGTTTCTGAACATCTTACCAGCAGCCCTTTCCCCCCTGACTTGCTCCAAATAGAACCTAGTTTTACAGATTGTGCCCACTCCCCTGCTTTGGGGGAAATGCATGGCGCTCCTGTGGAGCTTTTCTAAAGGCACTTGAAAAGTAAACAGACAGAAACTCACATTAATTGAGCACCGCAGTATGCTAGCTGCATTATTTTATCCAAACCATATCACAACCTGTGTGATGACAAAACAGAGGTTCTAAGATTTTTTCCCCAAAAGCCATACAGCTAAACACAGGTAGAAAGATTCCCTTCAATCTGTAACTCTCCTGTTTTTTTCATTTAAATCCCATAAGGAAAGGCAGAGTTGCATTTCAATGCTAACGGTGAATATTGATGGTAAAGCCTCGTGCTTCAGAGCTTACAAAGTGCTCTCTTCATCCAAGACTGCAATGAATACCCACGTGGCCCTGAAAAGCAAGAGGTCTAGGGATCACCCACATTGTCCAGTTAGGGAAGCAAGGTGCTGAAAGGTGACGTGGCATCCCAAATGTCACACAGTTCAGGTCATCTGACCTCAAGACCATATCCCACATCTCTGACCGCTGCCTGACAGCCTTTCACAGTTGATGTAGACTCAGCTCAGACGTGCAGAGACAGTGTAGCAGTTTTTTGTGGCCACAGAAGGAGATTTATCTTCTTCCATCATCTGGTGCAAACTGTACTTATTTACTTATTTATAGCTCACATCATTCCTCTATGGATTTAAAATGATTTTATATTATATTAAGCCGCCTAATCATATAAGCCAATTAATCCAAATCATTTGATTTCTTTGTTTTCATGACAAGAAATAACCAAATTGTATAAAATTTTACCTCCCCTTACCTTCCTCACAAATCTGTTCTGGCACAGCCTCCTCCTCCCTGCTCCTCACCCCCACCCCTTCCCCAACCCATACCAGTCTGCTGGCAGATCATCACCAGTTTCCTCCTGCAACCTTTGTTCCCCATGGCTGTACTTCTGTACCTACTGTCTCATTTGTTTCTCCATCCTTTGAGCCCACCGCAGGTCCAAAACCTACCTCCCTCACGCCCAATCCCTTTCCAGCCTGACTTAATCGTCCCCTCTGTAGAACTGTTTGTTCCTCTCCTTAAAAATGTAATGCCCCCTTTCTTATATCTCACATGCTTTTCTCCCTGACAACCTGAGCTTGATGAGGGCAGGGACTCTGCCTTTCATCTCTGCACCCTTCTCAGCTCTTAGCATGATGCCTGGCCTACAGCCATGATCGGTACATGATTTGCCTCTCTCTAGGCTAAAAGAGTTTGATTTTTTAGGTCAAATAATATTCTTTATTTATTTTTATGTGAGATTAGGAAGATAAAGTTTATTACTTAACAGTACACGTTTGCTATTCCCATGGTTTCTACCCCTCCTTTAGGTTTTTAAAACATCACCTTGTCAGTGAGAGCTTCTCTGACTACGTAAATTTAAAGTTCATCTGTAAAACCCATGATCTTCTTTCCATGTTTGATTTTTCTCCACAACACTTATCACTACCCTAAAATACTATATATTTTACTTATTTCATTTATTGTCTGCTTCCTTCATTTAAAAGTAAGCTCCATGAGAGCAGGAGTTTTGACAGTTTTATTCAATTATATACCTGGTGCCTATAACGGTGTCTGGCACATAGTAAGTGGTCAATTGGTATTTCCTGAATGAATGCATAAATACTGCTAGGTTGTGTGTGTGTGTGTGTGTGTGTGTGTGTTTCTGTGTGTGTCTGTGTGCACACGCTAACCCTCATCCGGAGCAAGACACATGAAGAACCCCTGCACTTTGTCTCAGAACCAGGGTTCAGATGGCGGGTCTCAGGATGAAGGGGAGCTTGGGAGTCTTCTACTTTGGCCAAGCTGCATATGTGAGTATGGTGTGATGTAGTAGGAGGTTTTTACTGTTATCTTTATATCTGCATTCATCGATGCTAGGCAGATTGCTCGTCTGTAAGTCACATACTTTTCACATGTTTATCATCTTTTGATCACCGTTTACAGATAATGTATGACATTTGTGGATGCCATTGAAAATTGTGCTTTATCTCTCTCTTTGTTTTTTATTAGTTTCTTCTATACTGTTATGTTCAGTCAACAATGGTTTCTTCTATACTCTTAAGTGAATTCATTAATCATGACTACTGCTACTGCTACTACTATGACTACTGCTACCACCGCTATTTTTTAAGCTCAACTTACTTAAACTAAAAAACAAAACAAAATGAAAACAGTTCACCCATTTCTCCTGCTCTCATCCCCCCACCTCTGGCAACCACCAGCTTTTCCTCTGTATCTTTGAGCTTGGTTCTTGAATTTTTGAATTAAACAAAAATGTTAGGTTCCACATATAAGAGAATCTTGTGGTATTCATCTTTCTCCTCCTGACTTATTTCACTTAGCGTAATGCCCTTGAGGTCCATCCATGTTGTTGCAAATGTGACTGTTTAATATTTCCAGCATCATTTATTAAAGGGACTGTCCTTTCCCCATGTATCTTCTTGGCTCCTTTGTTGTAAATTAATTGACTGCATATGCTTGAGTTTATTTCTGGGTTTTTTATTCTGTATCTTTAATCTGTATGTCTGTCTTTTATGCCAGTACTGTACTGTTTTAATTATTATAGATTTATAATATAATTTGAAGTCAGGAAGCATGGTGCCTCCAGCTTTGCTCTTCTTTCTCGAGATTGCTTTGGCTATTTGGGGCCTTTTATGTTTCCAAACAAATTTTAGGATTGTTTATTCTATTTCTGTGAAAAACATCATTAGAATTTGGATGGGGATTGCACTGAATCTATATATTGCTTTGGGTAGTATGGCCATTTTAACAGTATTAATTCTTCAAACTCATGAGCGTGTACTATCTTTCCATTTATTTGTGTCTTCAATTTCTTTCATTCATGTCTTATAGTTTTCAATATTCAGGCCTTTCACTTTTTTGGTTAAATGTGTCCCTAGGTATGTTATTCTCTTTGATGCAATTGTAAGTCAGATTGTTTTCTAAATTTCTCTTTCTGATAGGTTGTTATTAGTGCACAGAAATGCAACACATTATTGTATTGATTTTGTGTCCTGCAACTTTACTGAAATTGATTATTAGTTTAAACAGTTTTCTGATGGAGTCTTTAGGGTTTTCTATATACAATATCATGCCATCTGCAAATAGTAACAGTTTTGCTTTTTCTTTTCAAATTTGATGCCTTTCATTTTTATTTCTTGCCTAATTGCTCTGGCTAAGACTTTCAGTACTATGTTGAATGTAAGTGGCAAGAGTGGGCATCCTTGTCTTGTTCTTGAACTTAAGTGAAAAACCTTAAGCTTTTCACCATTGAGTTAGATGTGGGCTTGTCAAATGACCTTTACTGTGTTGAGATAAGTTCCCTATATACTCACTTTGTTGAGAGTTTTTATCATAAATGGATATTGGATTTTATCAAATGCTTTTTCTATATCTACTAGCTGATCATATGATTTTTACCCTTCATTTTGTTAATGTAGTATATCACATTGACTGCTTTATGGGTGCTAAACCATCCTTGTATCCCTGGAATAAATCTCTCTTGATCATGGTATGTGATCCTTTTAATGTATTGTTGAATGCAGCTTGCTGATATATTGTTGAGGATTTTTTGCATCTTTGTTCATCAAGGATATTGGCCTGAAGTTTTCTTTTCTTGTAGCATCCTTATCTAGTTTTTGTGTCAGGGTAATAATGGCCTCATAAAATGAGTTTGGAAGAATTCTACTACTGTTTGAAAGAGTTTGAGAAGGAATGGTTAATTCTTCATTGGGTATTTGGTAGAATTCACCAGTGAGGCCATCTGATCTTGTAGTTTTGTTTGTTGGGAGGTTTTTGATTACTGATTCAGTTTACTTGCTACTAATCAGTCTGTTCAGATTTCCTATTTCATCCTGATTCACTTTTGTTAGGTTGTATATTTCTAGGAATTTATCCATTTTTTCCCTAGGCTGTCAAATTTGTTGATGTATAATTGTTCACAGTGGTCTCTTATATGATCCTTTGTATTTCTGTGGTATCAGTTGTAATATCTCCTTTTTCATTTCTGATTTTATTTTACTCTTCTCTCTTTTTTATTGGTACTTTTAAAAAATTACTAGTTGGCACTTTTTTTTCTTGCTACTAGGTATTGTCATAGAATAAAAACTGAAAGACCTTACCAGCAACCTTACTGATGTACTATTGCCATGTCTGGTTTGGGGGTAATATGTAGAACAATGGATCTCAACAAAGGTGGTGTTCATCCTCTATGGGACATAGAGAGACTAGGTGGGCCTGATGTTTGCACACTGGCAATAAAGTCAGTACTTGGGCAAATTTCTTTTTTTGTGTGTATATATATTTTTATTGAAGTATACTCAGTTTACATTGTGTCAGTTTCTGGTGTACAGCATAATGCTTCAGTCATACATGAACATATATATATTCCTTTTCATATTCTTTTTCACCATAAGTTACTACAAGGTATCAAATATAGTTCCTTGTGCTATATAGTATAAACTTACTGTTTCTCTATTTTATATATATTACTATCTACAAATCTCAAGCTCCCAATTTATCCCTTCCCACCACCTGCTGCCCCCCGTAACCATAAGTTTATTTTCCTTGTGAGTCTGTCTCTGTTTTGTAAATAAGTTCATTTATCTTTCTTTTTTTTTAGATTCCACATATAAGTGATATCATGTGGTGTTTTTCTTTCTATTTCTGGCTTATTCCTGGCTTAGAATGACAATCTCCAGGTCCATCCATGTTGCTGCAAATGTAATTATTTTATAATTTTTTATGGCTGGGTAGTATTCCATTGTATAAATATGCCACAACTTCTTTATCCAGTCATCTGTTGATGGACATTTAGGTTGTTTCGATGTCTTGGCTATTATAAATAGTGCTGCTGTGAACATTGGGGCTCATGTATCTTTTTGAATTAAGGTTACCTCTGGATATATGCCCAGGAGTAGGATTGCTGGATCATATGATATCATATGATAAATCTATTTTTAGTCTTCTGAGGAATCTCCATACTGTTTTCCATAATGGCTACACCAAACTGCATTCTTACCAACAGTGTAGGAGGGTTTTGAGCAAATTTCTTAATCATTCTATGCCTTAATTTTCCCATCTGTAAAAAGGATATAATACTAATACTTCAGAGGATATTGAGAAGATAAAATCCATGTAAAGTGTCAAGAACAGTGAGTTCCCAATAAATAATAGCTGTTAATATTTCCCTCGATTCCAGAAAAAACCCACATAAGATACACTGGTTCCACATATCCTTAGTTCTTTGTTGTTTATTTTATCTGTATTTTTTAGTTGCAGTAAATTAGTATTTATTCTCAATGATTTTTACATTACTTTGGTTAGCTATGTTTTAGAGACATTGCAGTTAAATTTGTTAACAGACATTGTTGCAGTTTTTATGGCCCTAAAATTTACCCTAAGTGGTAAATGTAAAAGTAGAAGGCCTTCAAACATAGAGGTGAATACAGTGTGCTTTTTTGCTTCCCTCTTGCTATGAGTGAGTGTCTTTGATAAACTGGCTGGTGGGATAAAAGATGCTGAATATTGAGGACCCTTGAAAAAGACAGGATTTTCAGCAAATGAGTGACTCACAATGTATGCTTCTACCTCTTAAATATCACTTGTTAGTTACCTAGACTCATGATTGCCTATTCTCTTTTGCATCAGCCCTTTGGGTAGAATGGAGGGTCTAATTAAATTAAGCCATTGGATTGTAATTATAACTTTGAAATAGAAAATCCTCCAGGGAATGTGATACATATTTGTTACTGGAGAGACTCATGTGCCTTGCTCCTGCAGGCTGGGTATAATTACCCACCTTATGACAGTAGGGAGAAGCTTGAGCCAATGGAAGCAAAAACACATAAGGTTATTCCTGGTAATAATTCTTGAATTAAAGTTTTGTTTGTTTTTATTGAAGGATAGTTGATTTACAACAGCATTGTGTTAGTTCTGGTTTTTGGTGTACAGCAAAGTGATTCAGTTTTATATATATATATATATGTGTGTGTGTGTGTGTATATATATATATACACATATACATATTCTTTTTCATATTCTTTTCCCTAATGGTTTATTGTAGGATATTAAATATAGGTCCCTGCACTATACAGTAGAAACATATTGTTTATCTATTTTATACATACTAGTTTGTATCTCCTGATCCCAAACTCTGAATTTACCCCTCCCCTACCTTCTTTCCCCTTTGGTAACCATACGTTTGTTTTCTATGTTTGTGAATCAGTTTCTATTTTGTAAGTTCATTTATGTCATATTTTAGATTCTACCTATAATGATATCATACAGTATTTTTTTTCTCTTTCTGACTTGCCTCACTTAGTGTGACAATC